TCTTGTATATTCTAAGGCTTATTCTTTCAAATTTGTACCTACATTGAAGAATGTTTCACATATGCTAAAAATAGTGCTTTTATCTGATATATATATTTTACCTTTCTTATAAATTTATTTCATGGAGTTAGCATACAGATAATTTATTCAAATGTTTCTTATTTATAGTGACTGTTTCCTCATTTAGCACATGAAGAGTGTAATACTTTTCATCCATGGTATTTACTTATGTCTTTCTCATAAACCTATGTTGCAATTTGCACCTTACTATTTATATTTATATACTCTTTATCTCTTATTCTTCTGCGAGGTTTCTAACTTTCATCTGTCCACTAAGAATTTTTATACAGTTCTTCCTGATTTTCGTACTAAAATGGTTGTACTGTTTTATTTCGAGTCATATTTTCTTATTATTTCCAAACTTTGTATACTTTTGTTTGCATGCTTCTTATTTAAAAATGCATATTGACAAAACTTTCTCATTTTTAAACCCAATTAAGAGCCTCTGTCTTTTCATTTTTAAATTTAGCTTGTTTATATTTACTATAAAACTACCATATTAAGACTTAATCTTTGCCTGGCAGTGTTGGCACACACCCTTAATCCCAGCACTCAGGAGGAAGAGGCAGGTGGAGCTCTGTGAGTTTGAGTCTGGCCTGGTCTACAGAGTGAGTTCTAGGAAAGCCAGAGCTACACAGAGAAATCCTGTCTTGGAAAACAAAACCAACAGAAAAGACTTGATCTTGCTCTCATGTTTCCTCTTCTTTGCATCATTTTTGTCCTATACTGCCCTTGTTTCATTAAAATCTACTTATGTCAGCAAACTTCTATAAATTCCTTCTGTATAAAAAACTGTATAAAAAACTGTATATTGTCCTAAATATTAAAGCTACTTCCACCTGTTCTTTCTCCTTGCATCTCTCAGATTTAAGTCCATCCTTCCACACTTACACTAATACCAGGATTTTTTTTCTTGTTTATTAAGACTGTATATTATTTTGGTTCCTTCTTTTGTATACAAAATATAGTTGCCTCCTGTTAATTCTGATTGTCTTTAGGACTGGTTTTCCTTTTCATTACAGTGTATACCCTGTGTTCTTTAGAAGGTCTCTGGAAGTTTTTGTGTTAAAAACCTTTCATACTGATGTTACACGGACATGTTAGCTATTCGTCTTTCATAAACATCCTACTCTAGAAATGTTGTTGTCCTCTCAGACATTATTTTTCCCTATGATATTTGCTAAGTTGAGTTGTGAAGTGGATTCTGGGAAGAAGACATTGCCCAGCGGGGCTTGGGATGGGGTTCAGTGCTTGGCCTCCTAACATTATAGTGGACCTGCTAGTGGTCTCCCATGCACTGAATCTCAGCACTAAGGCAGAGGTAGGGAGATATCAGTTATTTGGGAGTTACAGGAGTCTATATATCAAATTCCAGGCTAGCTAGGGCTACATAGTGAAACTCTATCTTGGGGGGACAGAGTTAACAAAAAAACCTCTACCACCACTCATCCCTCTCCTCACTCAAAACACTGTTAGTTAGGGCTTCTATTGCTGTGAAGAGACATGATGTGGTAGTTCAAATGTAATTGGTCTTCATTGTTTCATAGGGGTGGCACTATTAGGAGGTGTGGATTTGTTGGAGTGGGTATGGCCTTGTTGGAGGAATTACGTTACTGTGGGGGTGGACTTTGAGGTTTCCTATTCTCAGGATAAGTGTCCCAATGTCCCAGTCAACTTGCTGTTGACTCCAAGATGTAGGAATCTCAGCAACTACTCCAGCACCACATCTGCCCATATACTCACCGTGCTCCCCACAATGATGATAATGGATTGAACCTCTGAAACTGTAAGTGAGTTACCCAATTAAATGTTTTCCTTGTAGGAGTTATTATGGTCATGGTGCCTCTTTACAGAAATAAAAACACTAACCAGGAAACATGACCTTAGCAACTCTTGCAACGTTGAATGGGAACTGGCTTATATTTTCAGAACTTTAGTCTATCATCATCATGGCAGGACATGGTGGTCTGCAGGCAGACATGGTTCTGGAGAAGGAACTGAGGGTTCTACATCTTGATATGCAGGCAGCAAGAAGTGAACTGTGTTCCACACTGGATGTAACTTGAGCATTAGAGACCTCAAAGCCCAATCCCCACAAAGACACTCTTCCTCCAACAAGGCCACACCTACTCTAATGAAGCCACATCTTCTAATAGTACCATCCCTAAGGGGGCGCTGTTGCCCTCAGTGGTCATTCCATGGCACTGGTGCTCTAAATGGTCTGTACTTTCACCAATAGCCTTTCCTGTGCCCTCTGCATGGTACCAAGTCTCAATTTCTCTGTGTGATCCTTTCATCCTGTGGCTTCAACTGCTACTGAGGTTGCATCTTCACCAGTGGTCTCTTCTGACCACTCACAGTGTCAAGTCTCAGCTGCTCTCCATGACCCCTTCTGTCTTTAACTCTAAAGGCAGAACCACATGGCCAAAGCTGTCAAGTTCTGCTGCTTGCTGAGGCTGAAATATGGCCCCCTTGTTCAAGTATACCTTTACCAGGGTAGTTAGTAGTTTGAATGTATTTGACCCCCATAATCACATAGGGAGTGGCACTATTTGGCTTTGCTGGACTGGGTATGGCCTTGTTAGAAGAAGTGTGTCACTGTGGGAGCATGTTTTGAGGTTTCTTATGCTCAGGATACTGCCCAGTATGTTAGTTCGACTTCCTGTGCCTATAAGATGTAGGATGCTCAGCTCCTCCAGCACCACATCTGTCTGCATGCTCCCTGCCATGATGGTAATATACTAAATCTCTGAAACTGTAATGAGCCCCCTCAATTGAATGTTTTCCTTATAACAGTTGCCATGGCCATGGTGTCTCCTCATAATAATAAAAACCTCACTAAGACAAATAGCTTTCTGTTTTTGATGGTTGCCTTCACTGCCTAAGCTTGGCTGCCCTTAAACTTTCTCTGTAGACCAGGCTGACCTTAAACTCAGAGGTCCATCGGCCTCTGCCTCAGGGATGCTGGGATTAAAGGTGTGCTCCAACACACCTGACTTTAAGGGTTCTTTCTTTTTTTCCTTCCTTTCTCTTTCTTTCTCTCTCTCTTTCTTTCTTTCTTTCTTTCTCTCTCTTTCTTTCTCTTTCTTTCTTTCTTTCTTTCTTTCTTTCTTTCTTTCTTTCTTTCCTTCTCCCTTCCTTCCTTCCTTTCTTTAATTCCTCTTCACAAGATGGAAATTAGTCTGGATGAGATCTTGCCCTGAGGTCATCACTCTCTGTATTCCATTTCTTAATCTGTTTATCTCCTTGAACAGAGAAGTTAGCTCCATTTTACTTCCTAGTGCTTCTTTTCTCCTTAAATTGTACATTTTGTATTTTCCTTACTCAGGTTGCTCCTTTTCATTATATACCTTTATAAGTTTAAACACCAGTAACCACCTAAAATTGTGTACAACAAAACAGTTACTAAGAATTACAGTAACAATATCCAATCCATTTGCGTTTGACAAATTCAGAGAAAACAGGAAAGTTCTTTAACAAGACTGTTTTGAGATTTTTTTTCTCTGCCAATGGAAAAGGAATCCAATCTCTTTGCTTTAGCCTCAGGCAGAATCTTCATACAAGGGCAAAAGGCATCCACTTTCTTCACCAAAATATCACAACAATGATCTCTAGGCAACATACTAAAATTATACTCCTCTGAAACTTCTTGAGCCCTCACAGTTCAAATCATTCTCAGCATCAATTGTCTTCCATGCTTCTATTAGTATGGCCCATTTAGCAGTGCTTAAAGCATTCCACTGTTTTCCTAATACAAAGTATCAGTGTTCAAATCCTCCAACCAGAAACATGGTAGCCCTATCACTGGTACCAACTTTTGTTTTAGTTAGGGTTTCTATTTCTGTGAACAGGCACCATAACTATGGCAGCTCTTAGAAAGGAAAATATTTAATTGAGTGGCTTACAATTTCCATAGGTTTAGTCCATTATCGTTATGGCAGGACATGGTGGCATATAGGCAGACATGGCACTAAAGAAGGAGCTGAGAGTAGAGAAAGAGCTGCATCTTGATCCACAGGTGACAGGAAGTAAACTGAGACACTAGGCAGTACCTTGAGCATAGGAGACCAAAAAGCCCATTCCCACTGTGACACACTTCCCCCAACAAGACCATACCTACTCCAATAAAGCCACACCCCCTTACTAGTGCCTCTCATATGAGCTTATTGGGGCTAATCACATTCAAAATACCACATCATCTGTGTCACAGTAATACCCCACTATTCTGCTACCAATTCTGCCTCAGTTGGCTTCTATTGTCATGATGAAACATCATGACTAAAAGCAACTTGGGGAGGAAACGGTTTATTTCACTCACACTTCCACTGTCTTTTAGTTCTGTAGGTTTTTGATGTTTCTTATGCCTCCTGGTTTGTAGGTTACTTTCCCAAGGATTAGCACATCTAAAACAGTGGTTCTCAGCCTTCCTAATGCTGTGACCCTGTAAAATAGTTTCTCATGTTGTGGTGACCCCCCACCAACCACAAATTTATTTTGGTTGCTACTTGATAACTGTAATTTTGCTAATGTTATGAGTTGTAAAGTAAATATCTGGTATGCAGATGGTTTTAGGTGACCCCTGTGAAGGGATGGATTTGATTTCCAAAGGGGTACTGAACCTTTTAGGAGTGCATCACGGTGGGAAATCACCAAGTTGGATGGAGTACTATGTAGAATCCAGAATTACAAAAAACAAGCACTGACCTATGTTTTGCCTTGTCCAGTTCCTGCAACTTTCAACTGCCTTTTCTGTTGGCCTCTTGAGGCTCAGCACCAACTCACAATCCATCAGTGTTGACATGTCAGACGCAGCCTCTCTGCAAACCCAGTCCTCGAGTGCAATAACCCAAGTGGCATCTATGCCATTGGGCTAAATGCTGCCAATAAGCCCATCCATAAAATCAGCCCATTCATAAAAGCTTGGAAATTTCACTTTTCAGGTCAGGCTATCACCGGTGAGAAGGAAGTCTGTGGTTTCCACCCAAGTCTCCTGACCTATCAGGACTGAATTCATGCAGCGGAAACAGAACTGTGCTTCTGTGAACTACACAAGTGACTTCCATGTATAATATTTGCTTTGGGCCTGAGGATACAGTGAGGGTTGGAAAGTGAAAGATCCAATAAATCACATTCTTGTGTTTTCCCTGGCTCAGGTGCATCAGAGAGGCCTTTTTGCACTGCTGAAGTTCTCCCCATGTGACATACGCCTCTTAATGGATAGGAAGGGATGTTGTGCTTTCTGTGATTCACAATTTACAGGAAAGTGTGGGAGGCAGGAAGGGTCATTTCCCATCATTAGTGTGAGTCCATGCAATGAATACCCAGGTTCACTTGAAGTAATGAGCAGAGAGCAAGCCTCCGATCTTGCTCACTGGCTTCTCTTCGTAAGAGGAAAGGTGGTGTCCTTCGGAAATGTCTTCCCATGGGTACGACCTCCTCTCTGGGCAGGGTTACTGTATTAAACCAATACAGTCTGTTTTATGGGCATTCTAGTCTCACCTGTTAACAAGGCAGCTGCCGTGTTCTTTGACTCTTTTCAGGATGAAGCAAGCCCCAAGTTCAAACTTAGGGGAAGGAGATAGCCGTTTGGGCCTCTTGTCCTCAGGAAATCATAAAACCTGTTACAAGTATGAAATTTATATTTCCCCCCCCCCTCTCTCTCTCTCTCTCTTTCTCTCTCCTTCCTTAGTTGGGTCCAAAACCTAGAGAAGTCATTTCTATTTTTCAGACTACAGTATATAAAATGATCATAAGGCTACTGCATGGCAGTAATTAGCAGACAAAACTGTGAAATTAGATGTGTGATGGTTTCACACATCTTTCATATCAGCCCTCAGGAGGCAGAGGCAGAGCTCTGTGGGTTCGAGGCCAGCCTGGTCTACAGAACAAGTTCAGAACAGCCAAGGTTACACAGAGAAACCCTATCTCAGAAAAAAAAAAGTGTGAAATTAATTGTCAGTCAATGAGGACTGGCACAGGAAATGCAAGATTCAAAACCCAACACAAAGGTCCTATTTCAGTGTGACACACTAATGATGCCAAGATCCAATATTGATTGAGAAGGCTGTCTGTGGAGGTGCTGTAATGATTCATTAGCTCCTAACTGGTATATCTTTTTATTTGCTCCACTGTATGGATAAAGAAGACACAAATGTTCAATGGTAAACTTTACCCAGCTGCCAAATCCATGCCTTCAATCATCAATTAGTGACAACATAAACTATTTGAGTATGTGTAAATATCAATGAATGGACTTAGTAGGCCCTTCAAAGAAGCAAGTATTTATTCTACAAGAACAAATCCATGCAACCAGTGTGCCAGTGACATTTGATTGTTTATTTACATATTTATTATTTTCATGTGTATGAGTGTGTTGCTTGCTTGCATGTCTGTGTGTTACACGCATACTTGGCTCCTGAAGACGTCAGAATAGGGTGTTGGATCTCCCAGAACTGGAGGTACAGACAGTTGTGAGCTGCCACGTGGGTACTGGGAATTGAACCCAGGTCCTCTGGAAGAGCATCGAGTGCTCTTAATCTCTGGGTCATCTCTCTAGCTCCCAGTGTCTTTTATACATATGGAAGTGTGATCAAATGATAAAAAGACAAAAATCTCTAAGAGGCTGTAATTATACAGAACTCTCCAATAACAGGAACCAGGGATTCTTAGATAAAGAGCTGGCTTCAGGCCTGGGACTAAGAACACACAAGGCTCAGACAAGGTCCTTTGTACTTAGAGAAATGTGGGAGGGGCTTTGTCTTGGTTGGTGATTTTTGTCAGTGTCACACAAGTTAGAGTTATTTGAGAAAATGCTTTCATAAGACTGCCCGGTAGGCAGGCTGTGGAACATTTTAATTAATGATTGCTATGGGAGGGCCCAGTGCATGGTAGGTGGTGGTGACACAGCTGGGAAGATGGTCCTAGGTGCTACAAGAAAGCAGGCTGAGCAAGCCAGAGGGAGCCATCCGGTAAGCAGTATTCCTCTGTGGCCTCTGCATCAGCTCCTGTCTCCAGGTGCCTACATTTTTTGAGTTCCTGCTCTGACTTCCCTCAGTGATGGACTGTTTTCTGGAAGTGTAAGTGAAGTAAACCCTTTCCTCCCCAAGTTGCTTTTGATCACAGTGTTTTACCTCAGCAATAGGAACCTTGACTAAGGCAGGATCAGAAAACAAAGGGGAGGGGAAAATCCTAGAAGGAAACAGGATTCAACTTGAAAATAATTCCAATAGTCAAAGTTCAAGGAATTTAAACAGAAAAGGAAGGAACAAACTTTGGGTTGTAACTCCATGTGTGCAACTTATACACGTCCACAACGATAAAAATAAACCAATAAATGGGAGAGAAGAGGAATTCTTTTTTAGACACAAGAATCCTAGGAGTGACCACCATCCTGGCTTCTAACAGCATAGGTTGTTTTGACTATTTTTGTACTTTCTATAAACAGAAGCAAACGGACCCATCTTTGAAGGAACCTAAGCAAGACTGACCCTTTTTGATACAAAGAAAACACAACAGAAATCTGAGACTCTGAAGAAAGGCCCTGACTGTTTATCATTGCTAGTGAATTTTATGTGGCTTAAAATGCCCAGAAAACCCTGACTTTAGAATTTAACACCCCATCAAATCATTCCAGTCTTCTTCTTATTTACAAACCCAAGATTTGAAAAATTGTAAGCTGAAAGTGGACCTGTGCTTTATGACTGAGACATTTTCAGATGTGTGTAGAAAGATTCCACTGGCTGCAAATGCCCTGAGGTGAGTTTCAAAGAAATAAAAATAAAAACAACAAAGAAAGTCATTTGAACATGAAAACAGAGCAATAGCTGCTCAGACCTGTCTCCACCCAGTGACGCTTCCCCCCCTCCCCCCCATCACTAACTGCCTCTTCAGGGTCATTCTCATAGATGGTTTTAAATATCCAATGGAATAATGAAAATGCATCAAGGTAAGAAATTGTCTGTTGTGAGGACTGATGAACCATCATAAACTGCTTTGGGGGCAGTTTGTTTTTGTTTTTTGTTTGTTTTTGTTTGTTTGTTTGTTTTTGTTTGTTTGTTTTTGTTTTTTGTTTTTGGGGACAGGGTTTCTCTGTGTAGCTTTGGAGCCTATCCTGGCACTTGCTCTGTAGACCAGGTTGGCCTCGAACTCACAGAGATCTGCCTGCCTCTGCCTCCCAAGTGCTGGGATTAAAGGCGTGTGCCACCAACGCCCAGCAAGGTGTTTTGTTTTGTTTTGTTTTTGGGGGGGTCTGTTTGTTTTTATTTTTTGTGGGAGCAACTTGTGAGGCATCAAAGGGAGGATCCAGATTAAGGCAGTTCTCAAGGGAAGAGGAAATGACTATGGATGGATGGGTTGTTTCCAAACAGGGACACGGAAATACCAGGTAATCAAGCTGACAGTAGGATATGCAATGAAGCTATGGAAAATCTTGGGGAAATGTTTATGAAAGTTGTACTATAAACACTATCACCTAATTTTAGACACACAAACAAGATATAAAATAACAATTATGATATCAGTGTTTTGTTTTTTTTTTCTTTCCCAGTAAAACCCTAATTTAACCACCCCTTTCTTCACTATTTTTCATTCTAGCTCCTGGCCCATATATGCTGTATTCTGTGCTCTGGTTATTAGAGAAAGGCTTTTAGTGTTAACAGCACTGCTCTGGAAGCTCCTGCCTGGAAAGGAGGCTCTCCTTAGGTGTGAGGGGAATTCTGACTTAGCCAACAGGAAAGGGAAGCGTGTGAAGTTTACTTTTCTTCTTCCTGAGAGAAAGCATCTGACAAAGCAAATTCAGGACATAAAAGGACTGATTTGGCTCACAGCTCAAAGGTACATTGCGGCAGAAAGTCATGGTGACTGGAATGTGGGGCTTAGTGGTCTCACTGTGTCACAGTCAAGAAGCAGAGAGACAGATGATAGGGCCTGCTTGTCTTCCCACCTCAGTTAATCTGATTTAGAAGTTTTCAGGGACATGCCCATCTCCGAGATGATTCTGGTTCTTGTCCAGTTGTCAACTAGCCATCACAGGAGGGTTTTGAATTTGAAGAAAGCACCAAACTAACTGCAAGGCAAGAATAAGCACCTGGGTGTGAAGGGCGGGGTCAGGCATGGAGGCAGAGGAGGGAAACAGTGTTGTTTCCAGGAAGATGGGATCCTTGCTTTGGACAGTGACATCCCCTGCTTCTGCCTTGAAAGGGCAAAGGATGTAGTGTAAGAAGGGAACTGGTGTGTTTGAAAACATAACTCAAATGTTGTAACAGAAATCAGTGACAGAGTGGGGGTCATTTTGTAAGATCATGCTTATGTAACTAGCCTACTACGAGGACAGACAATAATGGGTGCTTTGCTTTTCAGACTGATGATGCACAAGCACACAACATGGTACATACATACCGTGTAAGTATTACTGAAATCAGAGCAATTACAGCATGAAGCACCACAGAGTCACTGTCAGCACGTGTCTGTGTGTGAGTACCTAACACCTACCCTCTTAGCGGGGCTGCTATCAAACGTCACTGCCAGCATCCTCACACTCACCAGTAGCTCTCTATATCACATTCATCTTACAACCACAGTTTGTACACTTGGCCAGCATCTCCATTTCCCCTGCATGCCCCTGCCAATCTTGACTGTCAATTCAAGTGAACGGAGAGATCCTGGCAGATGACTGAAGATCATCTTGGTTGTATCTGTGAGGGCATTTCCAGAGAGGATTACCTAAGAAGGTTATATCTGCTCAGAATATGGCCATACCCGTGGATAGACTGCAAGAAAAATAGAAAGGGGGGGGGGAAGAATTCAATGTGCATGAGGCTCGTTCTTTCTCTCCATTCTCTCCCTGCCTCTCTGTCTCCCCTGCCCCTTCTCCTGAGTGGTGGGCCTCAATAGAACTGAGAGGTAGAGGGAGGGTGATAACCTCCAATGGCACTGAGTCACCACCCTTATCTACCCTCCAATGTCACTGCTCCTGGGTGCCAAGTCTTTGGTCTCAGACTACATGATAGGACTACCCACTTTCCTAGAGCCGCTGTCTCTCAGTCTCCATAGTTGTATGAGGTACATTCTATAGTAAATCTCCTCAACAAGCATATCTTTAGCATATACGTGTGTGTGACCTGTCCATTATCTTTCCCCGGAGAACCCT